TGCCCACACGCTTGTGCTGCTTTTGTGCTCAAATCCCCGTCCCTCCCAGCAAGGACCACCGCAGCCCAGCGAGGTAAAACCATCCCCACGTGCCCCAGGGATGATTTTTGGAGGTAAAACCATCCCCACGTGCCCCAGGGATGACTTTTGGAGGTAAAACCATCCCCACGTGCCCCAGGGATGATTTTTGGAGGTAAAACCATCCCCACGTGCCCCAGGGATGACTTTTGGAGGTAAAACCATCCCCATGTGCCCCAGGATGACTTTTGGAGGCAAAAGCATCCCCAGTCCCCCAGGGATGATGCCTGGAGGGATGATGCCTGGGTCCCTCCCTGGCCACAGCCCCAGCCTCGAGCACCCCCCACGCCCTGCCAGCGAGGAAGAAGAGGAAGGGAGGACTTACTCGAGGAATCGTGTGATATACTCGCGGCTGCAGCGGGACCAGGTGAGTGGGGACGTGTCATACAGGAGCTGTGGAGACATGATGAAAGGTCTTTTCCCAACTGGCTCACAGTCATTGCTGCTTCCATCATGCTGAATCCCAAAACTGTGTAAGAGCACAGCCCCACAAAGGAGAGGTGAGCCGCACGCCGCCACAACCGCGCAGCCCCTCTGCTCTCCGGCACCGCGATGCCACACGGCGCAAACCGTCCCGGCTCCGCGGGGACTCGCTCGGTGACAGGCACTGGGGGATGTGGGCGGGTCGGACAATTTAGTGGCAGCAGGGACACTGCTCAGAATTTTGTGCCATGCTTTTATTTCAGCTTTCTTACTGAAAACTCACCCAAGAAAAAAAGTAGTGAGAATATTGAACAAGATCAAGTTAATTAAACTTACTGGGTATGTGTTTTTGCCACACAAAGATATCTATCATGAACTGTGATGTTCAAGAGATCTTGTCAAAATTTAACTGAAATTAGGGCGAGCAAAATTCTGTTGCTGATTTTTTGCACAGGTCCCATTTTAATACTTCTTAACGGGCAACCCTCTGCTCCAAAACCTTCAGCATCGGCAACGCACCATGATGTGCTCATGCAATTTGGCCAGGCTGCCTGGATTCTGTGATTTTCATTACACATGGGGCAACCAAAAACTCAACTCTGCCATGAAATTCCCAGCGGAAGGTTTGCACCGGCGAGGAACCGCTCGGCAATCTCCTCCCCACTCCCCCCCGTGCCATCTGGAGCCCTGAGCGAGCAGCGCAGGGGAGGAAGGAGGAGGAGGAGGAGGAGGAGGGCGGCGGTACCTGTGTCCGAGCTCGTGGGCCACGGTGAAGGCCAGCGGCAGCCCCGTGTCCTCGTTGATGTTGCAGCTGCGGTGGGGCTGGCACATCCCCGCCACGTGGGACAGCCCCAGGGTCTCGCAGGGTCTGTTCATCGCCGCGCAGATGTCCTTCCTGGGGCGACACGGACACACAGACAGAGCAGAGGGCTGTGAAGGCGGCAGGAGCCGGGGCGAGACGCGGGAAGGAGCACGGGACACGTCCCAGGCGCGGACACGGGCCAAACAGAAGTGAGAACGGAGACGTCCAACGTCTTTCCGCAACGGAAAGATTTACGACCTCTCCTTTCGCCTTTACTCTCCCAGTATCCCCGGCTTATTATTAAGCCTGATTAATGGGAACCACTAGCCAGCCTGGCTACGTTTACTCCGCTGTACAAACACAGCTGATGCTGGGAACAGCGGAGCAATGACTGTGTCACCTGGGGAAGCGCATCCCAGGGGTGCTGCGGGCCAGGGCAGAGGAGCCCCGGCCACCCAGGAAGAACAATCCACGGACGGCCACAGCCTCACGTGCCCGATTTCTGCTACAAAGCAAACTTCCTAAAGAAGATAAAACCGTTGTGGGTTGTGAATCATCACAAAAACCAACAACAGCCATCCTGCCAACAGCCGAGCCTCCGCAGCCTGAAACCATCAAACGGCGTTTTCCCCGCGAGGTACAGAAACTTGGCCAGTGGCACGGGTTCCTGCCGGCTTCAGGGGATGTCAGGGGCCTTCTCAAGGCTCCTCTGCCAATCCCAGCATCAGCCTCCCAGGGAAGAAGGAGTGTGAATCCCTGCGCACACCTCCTGGCAGGATCCGGCCGCTCTGGGGCTTGGCAATGGGGCCATGGTGCAAACCTGGTTTGGAAATCTCAACCGCTCGTCAACTGGGAGCTGTCTCCTGGTTTAAACCTGAGATTTGAGACCAGTTCCAGCCATTAAGACCAGCTTATCTCCAGATTTCCTGTTACACATCCTACAGGTGTCCAGGCAGGGCTGGGGCACAGACAGTGAGATTCCAGCTGCTCCCACCGAGC